GTCATTGATCCTGCCCTGCCCCCTTCTTAGTGGGCCGCTGTAATAAAAAAAAAATGCCTGGGCCAAATTTTTTTCCCAATCTGGCCCTGACTGGGAGTATCATAGAGCTCCTAGACAAAAGAGGAATTAGTGCCCAAATTAGGGACTGTCCATCCTAAATAGTGACACTTGGGAGGTATGATGTTGCCTACAAGAAAACATGATTATATATAATTAAAAATTTAATCTTTAACTCCAAGCATTATCTTTGGTCATATTGTTGTCTTTGTGCCAGTGCAGTACACATAAAGATGTCTAAATGGGTTTTTATAAGTGAAAATACAGCATTTGCAATGTTTTGTTTTGTTTTCAACTTCTGGTGCAGACAATGCCAAATACAGGAAGGCAGAGAACATTGGCTTCACAGAGTGATCTGAAAAAAAACTATGCACTTTTCTACATTTTAATGTATATCTTAAATGAAACACGGGTCATTTGGCATCGTCTTCACTAAAGGCCAAAGTAGCAGAAATTTAAGTATATCTGGCACAGAGAATTTTTCCAGTTTGTCTACTTTAGCCTTATACTTGAAATTCATTTTGAATTAATTTTGATTTCCCGACAATTCTCACTACAGGAAATAACCGTGAGAGTGTGGAAACGTGTGAACGAGGGGTCTGTAATTAGAAAATCCCAGGTAAGATTAGAAGATGATTTCATATTTGTTGCTTAATATTATGCAAATTAAATAAGTGACCCACTTAGATCACAGTTACTCCCTAGAAAGCACACAACGGGAGCTGGATGCCCACTGCGTCACAAAACAATACAATAGTGGAATATGTTCACTAAACGGAGAGCTGCGGACAAATGTCACAGATGTTGGAAATTTTACCCCAAAATAACCAAAATGAAAAAATAGTTTCCAATTGTTCCAATTCAGATGCTTCCGCCTAAAATTTGTAAATCCCTTGGCAATTTTTCACATACCCCAGTTCAGTGAATGAATCAATAAAGAGGTTATGTAATACACTTAGAATGGCAGTAAACAGAAGTCCGTGTTGCAAAACAAAAAAGACTAAATTGGTCAAACTGTGACACTAGTTGCATTGGAGAATTTTTCCAGATCAGCTATCTTAGCCTACATTTGATTCACCACAATAAAGGGTTAAGTGTTCAGTCCCCTAAGCGATTAATCATATTACACACATTCTGCTAATCATATTATTATTATTATTATTATTATTATTATTTAACCCCTGTCCTGCCTAAAACAGAGTTTAAACCAGGGGTCCGAAAAACTCCGGCCCCCCCCCGATGTTGCTGAACTACAACTCCCAATGATTCTTTGAATTACATAGATAGCCAGAGAATCATGGGAGTTGTAGTTCAGCAACATC